GCGACCGCGCCGCCCGGCTCCTTGCTCGCCTGGTGCATAGAGTAGATGACGAACAGCACCGGCGGAGCCGAGAGCAGCAGGATGTGGAAGAGCCAGAAGCGGTAGTGGGAGACCGGGAAGGCGCGGTCGTAGCAGACCTGGCGACAGCCCGGCTGCAGCGTGTTGCACACGAACTCCTCCTGCTCGTCCTCGAACACGGCGCCGCCCACCGTGGCCAGCACGAGGATGCGGAATATCAGCATGATCACCAGCCACAGGCGTCCCACGAGCGGCGACTGCAGCTGCACGGCGTCCAGCAGCGAGCTGAGGAACGTCCACTCCCCCATGGTACTAGGGACACAGGGCGGGGGTCAGAGGCCGTCGATCCGCGCCCTCCACCCCTCCATGCCCATGGGGTGGGACCAGTTAGACCTCCTCTAACTTGGGGCGAGTTGGGGGTCAGCTATGTCTGCGTTTAGCAGGGATTTTGTGGGAACAAAGGAGTTAGCGGTGGTGGGGGGCAGGAGGGGTTAAGTGATTCTCAATTATGGGTGTCCATCTCCCTGGGGCCAGTGGGTGCTGGAGAAGAGCTGATGGGTGCTGGGGAAGAGCTGCACCCTGGTGCTCTAGACAGACCGGTAGCCTGCTTATTTGGATCCTGTGCCCCGCCGGAGTCCCGATGTGTAGGGGACTTGGAGGTCAGCAGGGCCAACCCGACTGCATTTGTAGAAGCAGGAACCATCTGCACCCCGAGTGCTCAGGGCTGATTTCCATGGGCAGGGGTGGTGCCTGGAATCCAGGACTCCAGGCCCAATTTGGTACCCTAGGGAGAGAAGGGAGCCACAGACCCAGAGGGACCCCACCTCCTTCTTTCTCTGCCCTCGTTACTGCAATAATTCCTCTCAAAATTGTGGGGTGACACGAAAGTAGCCCTCTATTCCATAACTCTATCGAGATCCTTTGTCCTGAGCGTCCCCTGCTATCCGACCTCAATGAGGCAAGACTGCGGACCCAGCCCTCTCCCATCTCCTTCCTGGCGCCCCTTGGCTTCTAGTCTCCCACATCTCCTGGGAGCCTCCCAAAACTCATACTCACAAGCCCCACAGGCCCCTGTTGCTCCCAGGCCCTCAGCCGACCCCACTCACCCTGTGGCTGGAGCTGAGGTGTTAGAGCTGAGTGAGGGATCTTGGGAGACGGCTGGGACCTGTTCCTCCTGGTCCTTCTTTCATTTTCCCTTTCCGCTTTGGCCGGGATGGATGACAGGACAGGATGGCCGAGAGGGGCTAGCTCTCCCCCCTCTCTTAAAGGGACAGGGTGACCCTGTTGGCTGGGTCCACCCTTGGGAAAAGCCGCAGGGCCACGCCCCTTGCTGGGCTCTGCCAGCTCTCCCTTTCCCTCCATCCCCATCCTGCATGTTGTGTCTGGAAATGGGGGAGGGGGTTAACCAGAGCTGTATCCCTTATCGAGGGAACCACATGGAAGCCCATCCCCAACAGACTTCCCCCAAACTGGAAGGCCTAGATCTACCATGAACCATCTCCTTCGAAGGCGGTCTTCGCTATGAGGGAGGTTTGGTGCTGGTGTTGGGGGTACTGGTATTTTAAGAAGCGGCACACACCTAGTGACTATGATTCCAGCTCTGCTACTGACCTTTGACAAGTCACTGAGCTCTTCTGGGCCAGAGTCTCCTGGCTTGTTAATGGAGGAGGCTGGGCCAGCTGACCCCCAAGTTTCCTTCCATCTCTACATCTTAATGCTCAGGTCCCAGTCATGTTACAGAGAACAGAAAGAAAACTGCCACATGGAAAAACATTAAGGGATCAAGAGTGGCTGGTGGCCTTGGTAGTTAAAGAAAAGCTTTTGCTTCCTTCCTGCTTTTCTGTAATTTCCAGACTTACTACAATGAGCATGTTATTTCATAAGAGATAAAAGCTTCTCTTCCTCCATCCTGCTCTGAATCGTATCATCTTTGGGTTCAGGTGGCAGGAGAAGCCGTCCTATAGGGGAGGAGAGCTAGGATGACCCATGATGACCTGAGCAGCCAGAGAGGGGACACTCTCCGGTAGATACTTTTTATTTGTCCCTTCTGCCTTTCTAGGTGTCTTCCCAGACCACACACCATTTCCCTCCCTCACGGGGGCACCTGCTCTGGGCCACGCCCTGTACAGAGCCCATCACATCTGAGCCACTGAGGGGCATGGGATCCCTGGCAGAAGGGAAGCTGAGACTCAAAGAATCTATGCCACTTGCCCACAGTCACACAGCCAGGAAATAGCAGGCGCCAGCCTCATGCCTGGCCTGACTGGTTCTGAGTTCATACTCTTAAGCCCATCATGGAACTGTCCTCCCTCCAGCCTGGCTGGCTTTCCCAGGTGGTATCCTAGGGCCTGTTCGTCCCCAGAGCTTTGGCCGGACTGGTGGGCCGTGCCTGCCCTGCTTTGCCTGCTCAATGACATTTCTTCTCCCCTTTGGTCAGGGGGACTGTATGATTTTCCATGTTGACAGGGACCCCCTGGCCTGATTTTAGGGAGGGGTCGGAAATGTGCCTTTTACCCACAGTGGTTCAGGGGCCCAGCCCCGCCTGGAAAAACCCTAGGTCAACCCTCTCCGCCTTTGTGCAGGGTTCCCTTGGGAGTGGACCTGGGTGGGGAGACACTACCCTGGATGAAGTCCAGAGGAAAGTGCATGCTGGGGCCCCACATTCCAAAAACAGGAAGTGAGGTGGGGGCCCTGCCGATCTCCCATCCTGATCCCCCTCCTGCTTTTGGCAAAGCTGCTCCCTGACCCCCAACCCCAATCCCCAGCTGTGGGGGCACAGGGACACACCTGATCTCCCTTGACTGTCCAGGAATGGTCCCTACTCTGTCCCCATGGCCTCTGCTGGATCAGGCCACTGGCCCAGCCTGGAAAAACCCCATCAACCCCTTCTGCCTGTTGGGAGTGGAAAGTGGCAGAGGTGGTAGGCTTGGGGGAAGGAGGTGGAGAGCCCATGGTCACCCTGTGGCATACCCGAGCTCTGATGCCACAGGGCCAGACACAGGAGACTGCAATCTCGGGCCCATCCTCCTTCCCAGATAGCGCTGTCCAGCCTAGGAGGAGGTGTCGCTGATGCTAACCAGGGCTGGCGGCATATGGCCCTGTTCTTGGCTGTACTTGAGGTCTGGGGCTGGGCTGAGAGGCCCATACTGCCCTGGTCCATGTTCAGTCTCTGTCCCAGACACTATTCTACCCCTTCTGGCTGTGGATCCACTTCTCACATCTGCTGCTCATGGACACACATATGCAGACACATATGTGTAAGCCTTTACAGGGACGTTGCCTTTTAGTGTGGCCTTCCCTAGCTGCCCTAACTGGAATTTAAACCCCTACTTCCCGTCCCTTTTCTCGGCTTTATTTCCTTTGCACTGATCAGCACATAACATACTTTATGTTTTTCTTATATATCCTGTGTAGCATCCTTCTCTTCCATTAGCATGTAAGCTCTGTGAGGGCAGGGATTTGGGGCGCTTTATTCACTCTCCTGTCCTCAGGACCTAGAACAGATCCTAGCACATAGTAGATGCTCAATTAATATTTATTGGGTGGATGAATGAATGAAGTGGGGTGGGAGACTGAGGAGGGTGCAGATCTTCTCTGCCCCAAGACAACGAGAACTCTGGTGGGTCCCCTGCTTCAGTTGCTTATTCCGGTGTCCCCTAGAGCTGTGATCACTGGGGTGGCCAATTTAGTCTGAGATCAGTAATCAGGACGTCCAGTCTTGGGTAGAAGTAAAAACTCCAGAATGGATTAATGGTAAAATTCTCCTGCCCCCAGCTCAGCCTGGGCGGGAAGGGGGAGAGGGCGGCAGGCGGTGGGCGTGGTTGCTTCTCCTTGGGGACTTCTCTTCGTCCTCGGCAGCCCCTCCCCCGCCTGGCCACACAGTTTCTGACTCTTCAGACTCTTCCAGGCTGGAAAACCCTCCAGGTAGGACCACCTTCCGTTCACTGGTCACCCCTGCTTCTCTCTTGTTTGCCCCGGCCCCCGGCTTTCACTGGGACCGGCTCGATGGCCAGGCCTTACCTCCTCCCTTGGCTTTTTGCAACGGCAAAAGTACTAAACAGTGGCTTACACCAGAGAGAAGCTTGTTTCTCCCTCACATAACAGGAGGAGGGCGGTGGGCCTTTCAGAGCTGGTGGAAAAGTGCCCCAGGGCACAGGCTCTTTCTAAACCCCTCCCTTGGTGTGGTCCTGGTCCTCCTCCATGTTCCATAGATTATTCCTATCCAGGGAGCAGATGAAGGAAGGGATGAAGGCGGAAGAAATAGATGCAAGGACTTCTTTCTCTTAGAAAAGTCCTGGGAAGTTGCAGTGTGACCCATCTGCTCACATGTCGTGGGCCAGGGTGGCCTTCCGCAAGGAAGGCTGGGAAATGTAGTCTTTATTCTAGGCGGCCTTGCACCCTTGAAGGGAGAATTTAGCCTTAATTGTCACAAATCTGCTTCTAGTATTGGCCCTCCACGCTGACTTGGGGAGTCAGAGACTCAGTTCCTTCTGAGTCTGACCCTAACAGCTGCGCCTGTCCAGTTTCTTCCTCAGGATGAGGGAAACCTCCTGTCTTGCTTGTCGTCTTACCCACAGGCCCTTCCTCCACATGCCTCTACCAAGTCCCGTCCCCGCTTTCTCGTGCTTGAGCAGAGGAGTCATTACTGCCACTGGAGTAATCCCTCCCCTGGTCTCTTCTCCTCACGTCACCCATTTCTAGTTGTATATGTAGCAACTTTGCTCAGTCAGGACAATAACTGGGCCTGATGGTGGCTGGGCCCTACAGGCAGCCTCATCTGAGCCACTGAGGGGCATGGGATTCTCTCTATTCCTTTCCTTGAAAGCCCAGAATGAACTGACAGAAGAAAGAAAGTGCTTTAAGGTTGGGATGAGGAAGGATAAGGATCTGAGTTATCAAGAGATGTCTTTCAAAGTCCCTTTCCCCCTCCATGCAGCTCTGGATGACCCGTGTTTGTAAGTGCCAAGTGGTATAAGCAGCCGCAATCACTGCCTGTAGCCTGAGGTCCCTGACTGTCTCTCCATCACCCCCGGGACAGAGGTGGGATCAGGTTAGCTCAAGATCAATTCTCGGGCAGACCAAAGTAACTCCCTCCCTGAAAACAAGACTCCTGGGTCCAAAGGACTGCCCTCGGCCAGGCCCTGGAAAGTCACAGACAGTTACTAGAGGCAGAAGACAAAGTCACCTGTGTATGACTTTGAGCTTCTTTTTTTCCATCTAAATTAGTATTTACTGTTATGTTCTTTTACACTCACAGGGTGTTTTGGGCCACCTTGAGGCCAATGAAGTTACTATCTTATTCAAAAGA